GAAAAAAATCAGTGCTACCACGGTAATCTCAGAAAAAGTTGAAATCAAATTCATTCATCAAAATATGACAAGTCATCACTGCATTAGCACCAGACTGACCTGATAGCCAAATTGACTCAAGTAAGTAGCACATAGAACAATGATGTGTTTTTATTTTTAGTCCTATCCAAACAAGTCACTTTTTTTTCTTTATAGTTTTCTTGTAGATTTTGTATTATTTCTCTTAACTGATTCAGCAGCACATTACTCATACACACAACCTGTGTTCTAGTTATGGTGGCTGCTACTTTTAATACATTCACACTTACATGTATATTTTGACCGATTCCTGACTCTTCATCCATAAACACACTTTATCTACCTGGTCCAATCAAATGAATCTGCTCTGAATTTATTCTTAGTTTGTACCAGTTATAAACATAATTGATTTTGTGACAAGTAATAAAAAAGATCAAACTATTTGACTGGCAGACAACATTACCGATACTATTTAGAATTATGTGCTTTTAAACTCAGGAGAGTTTGTTGTGTAATCACAGTGAATCATACGAACGAGACTATTGTTTCATCACTGTTTAAAACACAAAATCAATCAGCTATGTTAAAGTACTACTACAACGACCTGGATTTGTCGATCAGTAAATCAAGAACATTCATTAACTAAAAGGCAACTACAGACAATTATCTATTCTAGGGGTTTCTAAACAATAATTTGTTGACAAATGTAACTGAAAGCTTTCAACAGTGGTAACACTACACCACCAGCCAGACTTTCTATGGGAGAACTATTAATGAACATCCGCTAATGCAGCTAAAATCATGTTCAAGCTACTGGAGAAGATTCACTGCTGGTGCCATTTACATAGGGTATCAAATAACCTGCCTACAGCTTCAATCAATAGAACATCAAATCATCACTAATGTTTTAAGCTCTTAAAGTACAAGTTTGAATTTTGACCAAATTTAAAACAGAAATATATAATGGCAGCATAGATATCTTTAAATATTTTATTTGTAAAAATCTCTTATAATTTGCAGAACTCAGAAATACCACTAACAATCATTGTGATCAATTTATATAAGTTATTAAATCATCACCGTTCTGCTCCAGGCTCCTCCATTGCTAAATGAATACACAGAATTTCAGAAATTGAGTGACTAGCTTAAAGTAACACCCATTTGTTAACCACATGTAATCCCCCCCCCCCCCCCCCTCGTGAAATTTACTTGATTTAGCTGTTAGAGAAACTGACCCCAGAATACCTGTGAAATTTACCCCAAAATACCTGTTGAAATCTATGAATTTTATTAAAGAATATACCTGCTGAATTAATGAAACTTACTTGAGAAAACCCATTAAATGTGTTTCAAACTTTTTAAATGCCTGATCCATAACAAGTAACAGGAAAGAAGGCTCCTGTCTGTGATCAATGGTACTTGGAAAAAACTGTAGTTATTAAAACCTTTATATATTTGTTGTATTACACATGTCACTGCAGATCTCAGAAATACCACTAACAATCATTGTGATCAATGTATACAAGCTATAATAACATCACCGTTCTGCTCCAGGCTCCTCCACTGCTATATAAATACACAGAATTTAACAAAGGAATGGCTAGCAAAGTAACATTTATTTCTTAACCATGTGTAATATTTTTTTCAGCGAAAATTACTCGATTCACCGGTTATATTTCAGAACTTTACCTGAGAATCCCTGTGAAATTTACAGGAGAATACCTGCTATATTAATGAAATTTACTTCGGAAAACCTATTAAATGTGTTTCAAACAATCCAAATGTCATATCCATATTAAGCAATTAAAGAATATACCTGCTGAATTAATGAAACTTACTTGAGAAAACCCATTAAATGTGTTTCAAACTTTTTAAATGCCTGATCCATAACAAGTAACAGGAAAGAAGGCTCCTGTCTGTGATCAATGGTACTTGGAAAAAACTGTAGTTATTAAAACCTTTATATATTTGTGGTATTACACATGTCACTGCAGATCTCAGAAATACCACTAAAAATCATTGTGATCAATGTACACAAGCTATAATATCATCACCATTCTACTTCAGGTTCGTCCACTGCTATATATAAATACACAGAATTTAACAAAGGAATGGCTAGCAAAGTAACATTTATTTCTTAACCATGTGTAATATTTTTTTCAGCGAAAATTACTCGATTCACCGGTTATATTTCAGAACTTTACCTGAGAATCCCTGTGAAATTTACAGGAGAATCCCTGCTATATTAATGAAATTTACTTCAGAAAACTTATTAAATGTGTTTAAAACAATCAAAATGTCATATCCATATTAAGCAACATGAAAAATTGAACATCATATCATCATTGGTATTAGCAGAAGTCCTGTAATCATTCAAACCTTTCGATATTTGTTGATATTATACATGTAACAGCAGAACTCAGAAATACCAGTAACAATCATTGTGATCAATGTATACAAGCTATAATAACATCACCGTTCTGCTCCAGGCTCCTCCACTGCTATATAAATACACAGAATTTAACAAAGCAATGACTAGCAAAGTAACAATTATTTCTTAACCATGTGTAATATCTTTTTCAGCGAATAATTACTCGATTTACTGGTTATATTTCAGAAATTTACCAGAGAATACCTGTGAAATTTACAGGAGAATACCTGCTATATTAATGAAATTTACTTCAGAAAACTTATTAAATGTGTTTAAAACAGTCAAAATGTCATATCCATATTAAGCAACATGAAAAATTGAACATCATATCATCATTGGTATTACGAGAAGTCCTGTAATCATTCAAACCTTTCGATATTTGTTGATATTACACATGTAACAGCATAACTCAGAAATACCACTAACAATCATTGTGATCAATGTACACAAGCTATAATATCATCACCATTCTACTTCAGGTTCGTCCACTGCTATATGAATACACAGAATTTAAGCAAAGGAATGACTAGCAAGGTAACAATTATTTCTTAACCATGTGTAATATCTTTTTCAGCGAATAATTACTCGATTTACTGGTTATATTTCAGAAATTTACCTGAGAATCACTGTGAAATTTACAGGAGAATCCCTGCTATATTAATGAAATTTACTTCGGAAAACCTATTAAATGTGTTTCAAACAATCCAAATGCCATATCCATATTAAGCAACATGAAAAATGGACCATCATATCATCCTTGGTATTACCAGAAGTCCTGTAATCATTAAAGCGTTTCGATATTTGTTGATATTATACATGTAACAGCAGAACTCAGAAATACCACTAACAATCATTGTGATCAATGTATATAAGCTAGGATATCATCATTGTTCTACTGCAGTCAAGTTCCCAGTGATTTCTAAACTTATTGTGCAAATATATAGAACAATTCCATAAAGCATTTAAAAGCAAGAAAGAAGTTAGCAAATTTTCCATAATCAAAATACAATTTTAAACGAAACCTGTCTCTTGACAGAATACTGATTAGATTAGCTTAAAATACTGTGCATCATTTAACAAGAAACAAGATTGATCAAGTGACAAGTGTTTCAATGAACTTGTTTTAAATGAAACCATGTACATGTAGTTTTTTAATGAAATACAAATTTGGGTAAGACAACAGCAAACATCAAAACAATTAGTTATGAACAACACCAAAACAGCATTAATTATACACATCATATAGTACCACATCCCGAACGGAACCTAACTAGGAACACTTAACGTCAACCTTCCCCACATCTCCACCGCTTGCTTTTGATAAACCAAGTAAAATACTATCAATTTGTGCACATCTAACAGTTAGTTCACTTGCAAAGCAACAGTTCTGCTAAAGAATCTGAGAAAATATTGCTGTTCTTCCCAATCAAGCTCACCAACCCATGTTTGTTTAGTAAAACTGTATCAAATAAGATCATTATTTCAGTCCTCTGTATATATACTTCAAGTGCCAGGAAAGTTCACATCCATTCACTAATACACAAAGGTAATGAAATTTCTGTTTCCAGTTTAGAAAATTTCCTGAATATTCTGATAATGCAAATAATAAAGACTAGAAATACTAGATCACGCCTATTTTTTACTGGTGAATTTGGGGCTGTTATAAGGCCCTTCCCCTTGGTAATTTCTCCCAAGAGCAATGCAAAATCACTTTATTTTCCCAAAATCATCCTTTTGTGTATGCGATATATTCCTTGTGGAAAAGAGGTAGAAAAATCACTGCAGAACAAGGTTCTACGGTCCACCTATCACCATTCAAATCTTAAAACAAACCCTAAACCTTACTGCAGCACAGTGGTAACATCTCATTAACAGTTATGTATTCTTTCATGAAATTATCAAAACACAAATGTCATCAACAACATTGCAAACTTTTCACACAAGCAGATCATCTTAGAAAATAGATATTTAATTATAAATCATACAAATCATAGTCATTTTAAGTGGAAACATCAATTAATTTATAAATAAGGTCTAGATTAATTTCTACAACGAGTCAATGGCTATAATAAAGCAAACCTGATCACACTTATTCTGTATGCTCTGGTAACTCCAAAAACCTTTTGTTCGTATATTCAAACACAAATCTAAATCGAGACTTCACCAAGTCAGGCAATGTGAAATAAGGAACAGTAAGCAGTGAGTGCCCAAAAAAAAAAAAAAAAGCGACAGAAATTTAAACAGTTACAGCAACAACAACCAATCACCACGTTAATAAGAAATGAAAAATAATAATGTAAAGTTGTTTTTGTTTCTGTTTGGGGGGATGTTGGTGTCCTTGAACTTTTACATAAATAACGAAAAACAAAGTAAAATACAGAGAAAGGTAACCCTTTAAAACTGAAGGAGATCAGATGTGTGTGCAAAATGTAAAATGTATGTATGTACAACAAGAGGACAACTATTTCTGGATGCTACTCAGCTCTTAGTCTAGAATCACAACGCAGAATATCACACATAACACTTGGCAAAGGATGGAAAATGAACATACTTCACTACTGCTCCGATGTGGATATTTCTTTACTTTATCAGTAAGAAGTATCATCTGAAAGAATGTGCATGTTTGTGAAAGCATAGTCACCGAGTGAGCTTTTTGTGAAGTTATGACACTACAAACAACAGCATGTTGTATGCAATAGCCTCTGATATAGAGGTATTGGTGAGCAGGCTTCTGTCGGGACACCATGAACTTCACAAAATCAAGCTCCAAGTCTTATTTCTATTTATGTCTGAACACTTAGGTAACATACAAACATGTGTTTTAACATGATAAAGAACAAGGTTTTATAAAAATAACTCTTGTCACATGTGTTTCAGCAGAACAATAACGGGATACTAGTTTACAGTGTCGAGAATTATAGACGTGAAATAGGATCTAGTTCATGCTCTAGTCAAACACTGGCGCATTTTATGATTTTGGCGGCAGTGTTTGTCTGTTATAGATCGCATGTCATTCGCGGTTGTAAAAAACATATGAATTGAAAATATAGATGTAGTTATTTTGTCAGACATCATACATTGATTTAACAATAAACAAGTAGACAAAATGTCAAATATCAATGTAGATCTTATAATAGAGTATTACACAATAATTTTAAAATATTTCTAAATATCACTGTCCCATTGAATTGTATCTTGTAAACTAAATCAAACAATAGCCAAAAAAAGCCAGTCTTTCAACATCAACACCAGGGACATAGTTTATTAATTTTGCTTAAACTTTTTGACAAAATGTATTTTTCAAATATGTATATCGTTATGAAGGGGGGGCAAGAATATTGAAATTACATTGAAAAACAGGCAAATCTATGATTTCCAGCAAAAAATCGCATTCAGCCATTTTGTAAAACAGCAAATGAATGATTGTAAAGTCAACCCACCTGTTGCAGAAATGTTAATAACACACATGTACAACAGAAAACTTAAATAGATGTGTGCCAGGAGCTAGTCAGTTGTGTTAAGATGTACAAACCTGTGTGTGGGACTTGCCATAGCCCGATCCAGGCATATCAGCGGCTCCCGGCACCGATGCAACAGATCCTAAAAGGTGACATAAAACCATTTATTCACATATACATTTAACACTTCATTATGCATCAATACAGGAAATAAACTTTCAATCATTTGAATACATTTTAAACTATTTTTTAGTAATAATGAAATCTAAGTCATACTTAATATCAAAACTGGAGAATATGCCAACTAACTTAAAACACACTGAAAAATTGACAAGTTTCATAAAACAATTCTAGCAAAAAAAGTTTTACAGTTGACCTGAATATGACCACTAAATGGCGTAAAGCTGCAACAGCAAAGGTGTCAAAATATCAAATTCTGTCACAAAGAAAAAATCCCCCAACCCACCTTAGCATCAGAAAGCACTAAATTAACTACAGCACACCTATATACCTAGACACACCTATATACCTAGACATTTAATACCGTTATAACCAGTTGATGATGCAGGTAAAGCTTAGGTTTCATTAAGATATCTTCAACAGTTTCACAGGAACTTTTGTACTTATTTGACCTCTGACATCAAGGTCAGTAACCTAATTACAGAGCACAACACACCTTCTGAGGGTGATGAAGGTACATTTCATTTTCAAGATCTTTTCAGTGATTTAAAAGTAATGGCCCTATGGTGATTTTGCTGGAATTTTTGCACTCATCTGACCTTCAACATGGAAAAGAAAGTAACGATGACCTTACTTATAGTGAACTGCACACCTCCTGGGGGTTATACAGGTATACTTCAAGCTTCATTTAATGAGAAGCCATAATTACCAGATTGATTGTCTGTACCTGATACTCCTGAAACCTTGTTTTGTGCTGGGTTTCCATATGTCGACTTGCTAAAGTCTGTTCCCTGTGTCAGATCTTCATATCCTCCTACAGGCAAAGGCAAAATATCTTAAGTAGTTTGTCATTTTTGCTTTGTGATTAGAGCCGAGACAAAACAAATGTCAAAAATTTGTTCTCCGGGAATTAATTTCCTTAACAGTATCAACATAGCAAAGCTAGCAGACCTCACAATGAATGTAAGTTTTTTCACATAGCAAAGGAAAACTGAGAAGCAGAAACTAGCATAGCTTTCGAAAACTAATCCCATCTTCTTTTTTATTCAAAATCCCTTGAACCTCAGATCAGAAATGACTCTTCTAGCCCAAGTTTAAGGACAAGAAGCATAGAAATTGAAACATGTTTTAAATAACATTGCTGGGATTGTACCATCTGAAGCTTATCATCTTTGGCGCATAATTTCTGCATAATATGTCAAATACTACACTAAATTTTGTGTGAAGCTCCAATTGAAAACTATATACTCTCTTCATAATCCTGGGAATTTTTTGGAGAATGGTTATAAATATAAATCACAAATGGAAACAGTTGGTACAGTCACAGCATACAATGCAGAAGCAGTTTTTCAAACTCAATCTTACTGAAACATTCATGTCACCTACCTTTATTGCTGGCATACGCGTGTGATGCACCGTATGTTTTCTGGTATGGGGTGTTAGCTGTTGTTCCAGCGTGGGCTGTATTTGTTACTGGTGGCACCTGCAAAATAAAATACATTAATAAATGATTATGCACTATATATGCAATTGAGACCAATAATTGCCAGAATGATAAGAGAATCATAATTATCTACTCTTCAACCATGACAATAGGAAAATATACATGTTATCAAATCATTTCTGATCAATCAATTTACCAGATGCAGTTCTACCACAGTGATTTCCTTAGAAAAAAGTTGAAATTTAATATCTGTCTTCTGGAGTGACCCTTTTCGGGGGAATTCCAATCAACAGCCAAGCTTGTTGTGAAATCCATTTATTACATTGAAGCATAATACTTTCTTTTAGTTTCCCATTTGAATAGTTTGCTCCGTGTAGAAAGATGATGAATCAATACTTGAAAAGTTTGCTCCGAAGGCCTGAACATAGTGACATGATTTTTAATATGATTTTAATACCGGAAACATAGTGGCAGGGTACTGGAATCCTGCTGATGGTAAGACAGAGGGGCCGTAGTAGTAGCCGTATGGGACATTGATGAAGTGTTGCTGCTGGTGAGCAGACTGTTGTGTTGACTGTTGTTGGGAAGCAGGAATGGGGGACTGGGCGTCCACTCTACCAATCTTGTTGTCTGCTGCTGTAAACAAAGGGACGATTAATTCTAGCTGGGGTTTGAGGTTGGCATTTCTTCAACAATGTGTAAACTACAACGGCTGTTGCATCAATTCTACAATTAAGTCTTAATGTCTATACAGAGGATCTTTGTGAAGAAACAACGACATATAAACTTCTACTTTTTTGTTTATCCTTTTTATTTTCATACTGGATTATTAATTTAGAAAATGCTGTTTCAAATTACAACGTTTGGCAGTAAGTATGAACACAGTATATATCATACATCACATACCAGAGTATGGCACATTTCCTAGTGTTGTCTGTTCTCGTCCAGTCATGGTAGTTGGCACACCAAATCCTGACATATCGTAATTGTAATTTGCCTGCAAAATTGCAACATTACATAGAATCAAGACCACATCATACCATTTTCTTCTGAATCAGTTTATTCCAACATTTACAATTTGTTTTTCTTCACTTTATAAGCATATTTTGCCTTTAGCTTCATGACCAGAATGTTTTTGTAATAAACATATATGAAGTAAACCAACAAATCAAGGACATGTGATTTGTTCAGACTATTAGATTTATTGGTAGTATATGATTACGTTTATGACAAATTCACTCACCAGGGCGGGGGGTAATCTCTGTTGAAGTTGAAGCTGAAGCTCATCGGTGTAGCTTGCATACAGGGGCTGTTGCAACCCCTAAATGGATAAAAGTAAAAACTGTCATAAGCTTGTTTAAATCCACTCTTCCAGTATCTTATATGCTGATAAATTTCATCAAGTAAGTGAATATTTCATAAAGAATAATTACTTAAAGTTTGTTTCATTTTCTGATTCTGAAGTGCAGAGTTACTTTTACCATTGAGCTTCTTATATTTTTAGAGGACCCATAAATGCTTTAACATACCAAAATCAGTTTTTATTTTCTCCATTTTTGTTTGAGGATATCCAAAAAGCTTTTAGCATTTACCAGAAATTGACAACTGACTTAAAACTTTGCTTCATTTTCTGACTAAACGTAGGAATAGCACCATCACTGGTTTCCTTGCACTTTCTATTTTCCCCATTTTTGTGGAAGCTTATCCACAAAGCATTACCATTTGACAGAGAGTGACACCTGACTTACAAAGTATGGTGGCATTGTTATAGAGAGTGACACCTGACTTACAAAGTATGGTGGCATTGTTATAGAGAGTGACACCTGACTTACAAAGTATGGTGGCATTGTTCCCTGTCCCATGATGTACTGGTGGTGACCCAGCAATACACCTGGAGGCAGGCTTGGAGTGTTCTTTGTGGCTGTAAATAGAACAATAGTTCATACACACAAACTTCAATGGTGGACATATACAGCATAACTTGCTATTTTTTGAAGGGGATGATATTTTCGCTACTTAACATGTCATATACACAGTTGTGAAAATTTGATCCAAGTTAGTGACAAGATTTAAGACCAAACTCAAAACAGTTTTCTATTCATTTTGATAAACACTCAATTCAAACGACTTCATCCATAAGATTAACCAGTCATTTTCTATTATGCTATTGGTCCTACAGTTAATCAGTACAATGATGGAAGGAACTATTCTACAGAGAGCCACATTTCAGGGCTAAACATTATTTTTGAATACCACTAGTCACTTAAGGGCGGTAGTTTCAAACTTTTTAGTCAATGTGCAAATTCCACCAACCCAATAATGTTCAACAAGATAAGCAATATTAAATTTTGACTAGTCACTAGGGCTAGTGCATTATAGAACCACTATCCAAGTTGGAGAATTCACTAGTCTCAAACTATCGGGCTTTCTCATTGCCTAGCCCTCCCTACATTCAGGGATTACAATTGAATAATAAATACTATGTAATTATCACTAACATGTGCCAAAATAAACATTTATATTGGCAATTCCTTGTTCTTTTTAAAGTCCATAAGCCTACTCACTGCTTGTTGTAGGAGCAGTCATGACTTTGGTGGATCCTACTGTTGTTGTTAATGCTATAGTAGACGCAACAGCTGATGGAGTAGTTGTTCCTGTCGCCAGAGACGTTGTTATTGTTGTTGTCATCAAGTTACTCGTCGTTGTAGATGTGGAACTGTCATACTGAAATGAACCAATCACATAAACTGAAACAATCTCCCCTCCAACTTATCTATGAACACTCAATCATGTCCTTTTCTTATCTATGAACACTCAATCATGTCCTTTTGACTTTATCAACTGTTAAATTGAAAGTAGTTCTGAATCTCTTTGTAAGCATATACTAAACTATATAGAAGTAATTACCACACTGTATTAGTATTGGAAACAGAGAATCCAATAGCAACATTGAAATCTGTAATTGCAAAACATTATGGCATTTTTCACAATTTTGTACCAGAGAGACATCTTAGGGCTGGGCATCTACCTTTATGTAATGTTGTTACAAAGCAATACATTTTATAGGCAAAATGGAGTTTGATTCAAGTTCAATTTTCACTAACAATGAACAATCATTATTTCAGAAAATTGATATTAAGTTTATAATAATGTTCAACTTTCAGCAGATGATGGATTGATGGAAGGGTAAATGGTTAACACTTCCTTCTTTTCAAAATCATCTTGGAAGGGTCTCAAGATTCAGGATGGTGTATAATTTTATCCAAATCTCATGTTCATGTACATATGAAAGTAAATTCACTAGCCCAAATCACTAAGGTTTTGAGGTAGAGACAAAGATGACATTTTCCTTGTGCGACAAAATCACGCTGATCTTATTTACACACTGAACTGGCCAATCAGAGAGCAGGATTTAGTTTAGACAAAGTTCATGGAAGCTATATTTCTTTGTGAAGGATAATGTAATAAAAAGAATGTTTTTAGTTCTGTCTAAACTAGAGAAGGTTTCCATGGCTTACCATTACCAAGCCTGTCCCTGCTGAATCTATAGTGAAATTACAAGTTAAGCAACAGCTATAAGGTGACATGATTTAACAATCTCAACCATATTTGAACTTGCCCAAGATATATTGAGGGCTAACACATCTATTAAGTTTCAAAAAGATATGTCAAGAATTACGACCACCAGGGAGTAAAATACGTAGAAGTCAGCAAGAACCGCACCATGTGTCTGACCTTACCCTCATGGTATCTTTTATCTTAGCACAATGACCTTAACCTTACCAATTAGAAACTTTTTTTACTACTACACATTTACATACCACAGTGTATCACCATGTCTGATTAAAAAATCAAATTGTCTTTTGGATTCTGAGATCAGGACCATCAACCCCTCAAACTATTTTTTCAGTAACAGTGATGTTGAACTTTGGAACTTAAAGGGTCGCTGGAGTGATTACAAGGAGTATTAAGGACCACTTTGTGTAGCATTGGGTATATAATTACAGATATGAAATAGGAGTTTGGTATATATTGTGATAAATCTTTCACAAACGCAGACTGCGCGCAATATCCTCTATATGTAATATTTTTTTCAGCATCTAAGAACTATATCTTAAATACAGTAGCTATCTTGATTGATTGGACTTGTAAGTGTTTGCCCAGCTTCGGTCAAAAGTTTTTTGGCCAAAAGTTGTTTAGTGTTAAAAGTAATCGAAGAAAATACATCTTTTCTACAATTATATCTGTAAACAAGCCAAAATCAATGAAAATTATAATATTTACCACATTACGCAATGCAAATCATTTGGAACATTTAAAAGTTCAACACCAAGACAAAATTTATATAGCTTAAAAAAATTGTGGAATCCAAATACCGACTTGATTAGATTAGATACCAGCAGCACAGATCTTTCTAGGTAGTTTGATCATATAATTCAAGCTTTGAGCATGAGGATGATTACATGAATATGGGCCCTGGCCAAAATTTGGACAATATATGGTATTTAATATATTTGTAAAAGTGGAAAATAGTGAAAGGAGAATCAATTTGGTGTATTAGTAAAGTTTCTAGCAAAGGAATTATTTGTACTTGTAAATGTTCTTTCATTTTTCCTTGTTTTTAAAATAATTATGACACCTCAGCAACAAAGATTCTTGTAAATAGGTAGAAAATGATGTGCAGCAGTACACCACACAATTTTGGATTTTGTTTACATTATGCATTTAGAAAATGCTCACATATAATTGGCCATTCATACCTGAGGAGATTGCCTAGTATCCAAAGGCGAGTCTTTCACAGTCATCTTTGACAAAGTTTCACTGATCTTATTAGCGGACACTCCAGACAGTGGCGACGTTTGTAAGGTTGATGGCAAGCTGTTTTGATGTGGCGATGAACCATACCCCTGAGAGGTAGTGTATACCGACTGTGTCTGTGTGGTAGGTGTCGACAGTGCCGACTGACTGTCTCTTTGGTACGAAGTAGCACTAGACTGTGTGACAGACGCCTGGAATGACGAACCTGTCTGCGAGTCCCGACTTCCACTAGTTGGATACGACCCTGACTGGCTCACGCTGGCCTGAAATGAAGCCGACTGTGAGTCTCTACTAACACTTGTAGGGTAAGATCCAGCTTGCGAATCTCGGGCACCATGATAAGATGATGAGTTTGTCTGTGGTTGATATGATGTGGTCTGTGATGAATTGCCTTGATGATAGAGTGAGTTTTGATTGGAGTGAGATTGGTAAGAATTTGTGGCAGATGACTGATACAGATTGCCTTGATTTTGCTGGCTCGATCCACTGTAGGAGCCACTTCCACTTGAGTATGAACTCGGATTCTGGAATGACGACCCAGCGGACTGTCCATAGTTCTGAAATTGGGTCTGACTGCTATGGAACTGATTCTGGCCAGACTGATACTGACTTTGTCCACTTTGGTACTGAGCCTGTCCACTAGGGAACTGGTTCTGACTAGTTTGATACTGGTTTGAGCCAGTCTGATACTGGTTCTGGTAAGACCCTGGCTGTGATGAGGATGAATGCGAGAATCCTGATGTACTTGAAAGTCCAGCTGAATTTGAAAGACCAGAATTATTTGCAATTCCTGTAGAATTTGAAAGCCCTGCTGCATTGGACAGTCCAGCTGAGTTTGACAGTCCAGCACTGCTTGAAAGCCCTGTGGCACTAGATCGACCAGAATTAGTGGATAGTCCTGTCTTTTGCGATGGATATGTTGTTGATGCATAACCTTGCGTAGATGGATTGTAAGAACTTAAGTTGCTGGAATCTGGCTTGGATGTTGCCAAAGGTCCTAGAAGTAACAAAAGATCGCAGTGTAAGTTGAATACTATAAGAACGTTTTTCTTCTCTTTTATACAAGTTCTGTATGTAAAATTACCTCGATGACTATCGTTTGTATATCGCACTAGTTTAAAACAAAACAAACATAATCTTTTATCAAGTGACATTATTGGTAATTGTACAGAAACACACAACTTTTAGAAGTTTCAAGAGAGCTACATTAGATTTTACTATATTGTCCACATTGCTTTAAAAATAACCCTGCATAATAGTATAATTGTCAAACAAAATTTACCAGACGCGAGAGAGCTGGAGGATCCTGGATGCTGTGAGTTGATCATTGGACTGGATTTCCGGTCGGACTGAGATGGAGGGAAAGGAATAGGCTCTGGTGGACTCATCTGAAACATTTTCTTCGGAATCACAAACTAAATACGAGTGCGACACAGCGTACACTGTGATGAACCACAAGCTTAATTATCTGCATTTCACACATACCAGCATTATATTTATGCAACTACTTCATAACAAGCAGGAAAGAATTAAGGATATGGATTTTATTTGATTTCTATGCAATATTAATAGATGTGGAAAGCACAAGGTTAGTTCCAAGGCCAGTAATCATAAAGGATTCATTTATATGCTTTCAGAAATGCTTTGGTGCCAAATCTTTGAATTAAGTCTCATAAATAAAGGCTTAATACATATCCAAGCTCTAATTCTGTTACAAAGTGAGGACTGTAACTTGTATCTACCTTGCTCTGATTGCGTGATGCAGAGTCCTTCTTGGTAGGAGTGGTGTAGGGGGAGGCCTGGAAAATGTTGGTCCTGGGAGAGGTCTGGTCACCGCCCGACATAGCTGAGGTACTATTAGCGGGAGGCGTGGTCATTATGGAGGAGGAGATCACAGACTCATTTGGTTTACTACTCACCTGCTGAGGGGGCAAGTGACCACTTATCGTTGGAGTTGTACTGTAAAGTAAGTTACAAAATTCAGACAGGAAATTTCTTTCAGAATTGCAAATTAAAGTAAAACAGTGCATAGAAAATTAAATCTCAAATCTTAATAACCACTTCACAATTTATTTTCAAAACTTAAAAGTTGCACCACAAATTTATCTTGAAACTTTATATCACATTCCTAATTTTCTTGTCAAAATCTAATTACCATATCAAATTCTTTCTCAAAACTTGAATAAATTGAAGTTATAATAGGAAGTCTAAGCAGATATCTAATGTATTGAAAAGTAAGTTCACTGGAAAGAAAATGATGTTTGAAAGAAATATTTACAAATTGAAGATAAAACACTCAATTACCTGCTAGCACCAGCAAATTGAAGATAAAACACTCAATTACCTGCTAGCACCAGAACTTGTCAAATTGCTTGTAACAGATGGTTCTCCACCAAAACTAAAAGGTGATGAATTATCAGATCCGAATTCCCAAGTTCCAAACTGGACATCTAACCTTTTCGTCATGTGTCCAGGCATTTCTACTGCAGAGGCTGGAATCTAAACATTCAGGTCACAGTTAGGAATGAAAGATTTATTCTTTGACTTTAGACTGGTCTAAGAGACATAACATGTGTACAACATGTGAATCTCTTATTCACCTTAACTTAAGATTTCTTAAAACATCCTATAAGTTTTGTTTATTGCAAGAAATAGAAAGTAACTTTACATAGGTCTAAGACCGCTTTACTTTCGTTTTGACTATATTATTTTAAATGTTTTAAAAAGATTAACAAGTATACTGGAAATAAATGAAATCCATCACATCTTTTTATGAAATGTCTATGAGGTGATTTAATTGTACCTTGGATGGTGGTGGTAGTTTTGTTCTTTGGGACTTAGGTCGCTGTTGTAAACCCGACTGAGAAGAGGGCACGGAATCCACCTGTCCACCACTGTTTTGTTCCAGGCTCGAGCTGTATACAGACCCAGTGTTCTGGCTAAAGCCGGATGGCTGACTCTGACTGTAAGCCGAAGACTGATTCTGGCTGTAAACAGACGACGGACTCTGACTGTATGTCGACTGACCTTGGCTGAACCCTGAGGTAGTCTGACTGTACCCAGGCGGACTTTGACTGTAGGCCGACACACTCTGGCTGAATCCTGAAGAGCTCTGACTGTAAGAGGTTTGATTCTGACCAAACGAGGACACCAATGCATTAATGGCATTAGACGAGGACTGTTGCGAAACCGAAAGCTGATTGGATAGCGATGATGACGGCAACTGACTTGACAAGGATCCAGACTGCATGTGATTGGTCAAAGCTGAGCCACCAAGCTGATTAGTCAGATTCTGTCGCGGGGATGATCCAATCTACATTACACGATAATTCAGATATTAAAACTAGGAAAATCAATATCATGTATTACAAGTATCATTTAATTAGTTTGAAAAGGAGAGGAATTTATAGAATCATGTACAGTCAATTAACTTCTTACCCAACCAAACATTTCAAATCAAGATTGCAAGACAAAGGGCTATTCTATATGGCCAATCTGCTGGAAGGTACAAATATAACTTTACGAGTCATGAATTTGTGATAGTGCTAAAAGATTTCAAAATAACTTTCTCAAACTTTACTTAGCTTCCAAGAGGTTAATCTGTTTGTCAAAATAGCAATGAACTAAAACAATCATGTCAGAAGAAATTGAACATGATTCAAAATAGAATGAAATCAGCAAAATAATAATGATATGAAATCTCCTCAAGTTGGATACTTACGCCTATAGAATTTTTTATACTTTCTGTGGCCTGTTGGTTGTACTGTGATATGTAAGCTGATTCTAGGGGATCATTGGCTGGCTTTTGTGAAAGGGCCCCCAAATCCAACCTGTAAAACAATCAATTAATTGTAACCAAGTCCATCACTTAAATTCAATCAGTCATCAGAAGGATACCTTTGCTGTTTCCTCAAAATGTGATCAACAGATCTGAAAAAGATGGACACTTAACAATTGCAACTACAAGGCATTTTCAAAGTTTGGTAAATTTCATACTGGCAATACCAGGGGCTCTTTAAATTGTCTTAGTTAAAAAGCTCCTGAGCTAACCCGGAGAAAATTATTGTAATGACTACAAGAACAAGAGGTCTATTGGGCTTGTATAAATTACATGTTCCTTAGTTATCTAATTGGACTAGACAAAGAAATTAGAATGTTTCCACTAATTTCAGACCAAGGTGACTATTGGATTTTAACCATATAATTTCAATTAACATTTGCAATACCAAAAAATAATATTAACGATATTTTGAAACTGGAATAATAAAATACTAACTTCATTTATTTTACAACAATTATGAAACAAGTTATTTCAACTAATATTAATCACTCTTGTTGGCCCAGATGTTAGCATGCGGAGGTCTTAATGTGAGTGGAAACCAGAGAAAACCCACGTGATCGGGCAGGTTAACCCTGGTCGCCTTGGTGAAAGGCAAGTGCGCTATCCACTGCGCCAACTGACCACCCTAAAATTTCAAACTGGAATTGAACACCGGTTGAAAATGTCTTAGCCAATGCAGTCATTTTGAATTTCAAATAAATAACAATGTTTAAAATAACATTTGGTCACGAGATGATCAAATTAGAAATGAATTAATCAAAAAATATGCTTGCTCCATTTCCTCTTTTGGCTCTTGAGTGATGAGACAATTTTTAACATATTACTGTGGTGGATTGAATAGTCGATTACACTCCATCTATCTTAAAACAGGTATGAAAACTACCTCTGTCCAAGAGTATTAGTAGTGTCAGCCATAGGTGTTGTGTTCTCAGGTATCGGATCTTCCTGTGTGCTTGTTGCTGTGAATACTTTTGTTTCTGCTAACTGCTTAAAACAAAATGTTTTATGATCAATACACTTGGAAAATAAAAACAAATTTTAGTTTTCAAGAATAATTCATTTTAAGTAAACAGCAAATTGGGTCCAAAATATTTGCTTTTTGAAACTTGTAATAGATCATCTTATATTATAACTTGTATGTTAATTTGAAACTATTGAACAATCTTTTTGCTTACATACACCATTTACTGCCATGTTGCATATGCTCACAACACACACACAACCTTTATCACCAGAAAGAAACGAAACAAAAATTAAATTCTTACACTTCCAGTCCACGTGTCCTCGCTCCAATCTTCCATAGAATCCCAATGACCTAAGTTAAACAAAGCACCATTAGGATAGTTACGTTACCTTAACCAGCAAGGAAACAATACTAATCGAGTTCCACTTTGTATACAATTGTTAAGTTAACCTTCCAGATGTAGAATCCTGTCCTGGTAATGTACTGTGCAGTTAATCGTTTCAAAATTTATCACCATAATTTTCAAAATTCTTACTTTTCAAATTAGCAAAGTTAATCACAAAGATGCATTCTAATATTATCATTATTTGATATATTACAGGGCTGCATGTGCAACTGTTGCACTAAAACATAACAGATACCCCAGTTTGAGAAGATAGGGATCCCTGGTTCCCACTGTCAGAGGTTGCATGAACAAAGCAGAGGAAGGATAATTTGCCTATGTTATCCTGACACTTTTTTTTGCAATCGGTATGATTTATTGTATTACAGAAAAGGAATGTAGAATTTGACCTCTATATTCAACCTGCATCAATCATATTTGGGGGTCCATCCCTACAATACTGTTTCTTAATTTTTTAAGTAACGTTTGATATTGAGAAGACATGAAATGTGACATTTATGACCTTGACGATTGACTTTGCCCCTACACAAACACGACACATGGAATCATTCCAACAATATTTATTCATAATAATATGCACTGTTGCTCCAGAGTGATATTGCACAACTCTAATTACCGGTACATAAAATTTGAGAAAGACCGTTCGAATACTTTCTCAGAAACAGCAATAATAAACTTTGCCTGGTGAGCATATTTTACTTCCTACCGACAAGGTAAGTTATGGTGCACAACTAAGAACCAACAGTAATTGTGTCACAATTTGAGGAAGATCTGTGAAATAGCAATGACAAGAATTAATTACAGATGAGTGCAGATAAACGGCAATATGATATGCCCACCGTCTAATAAAGTAACTTACTTGATGCATTTTTCTTCTCTGCATTTGCTGCTGTTTCATTTGTCCACGTGTCTATCTGAGGCCCTTTGTCAAACCTAGGATTCCTGTTAGAACTAATGATATTAGTTTACACTGAATTTAGCCAGATGTCAGCTAAAATATTATTTATTCTAGCCCAAGTCACTAAAATTAACATTTTCAAAAAACTGTAATGCTTTGTTAATCAATATGAATATTCATTTTCTTTTTAAATGAAAGAGCCTTTAAACATTTGATTGATCATTTTTAAGGACTCTTCCTAATCGATACCAAAGTCAAAGTTTTCCATTGATACAGAAAGTAGTTTAACGTTTTCAAACCCGACTAAATTGTCACCTCTTTAATTAGGTGCATCAGATACTACAAGTAGACGCTGTGAACATTAACATTTCAAAAGAAGTTGACAAGCTGGACTATCATGGCAAACATACCTTCCTCTTCCTCCTCTTCGAGGTCCTCCTAATCAAAAACATAATTTGTATTGTCATTTTTCATATTTTCAGATTGCTTTACTCACAAATTTGCAAAAGTCGAAATAGTGACATTTAGATACAGGAAATAGTATTGTATTGTGAACAGCTAACTGGCAGCTAGAAATATGAAAGCATTACAATATAAAGAAATAGTTTTCTTCTAATCAATTTGATCATTCAACAGTGATGACAACATTCAATTATCTTTCCTTACACAGATACACTATGGTATCACCGACTATTTTATATTACAAAGTTTTCCATTGAGCTAATAGGATATTGTACAAGTGGAATGAAAAACTAACAAACAATGAATATTTGTTATACCTATCATGAATGAATCACTTTCATCCTATTTTTTTCCTGAATACTGCTATTCATCTTCATTATCTAACTCTGGTCATTATTCATGAATTTGTACACATGAACATAATACTATGAAGAATTTTACACACCCCTTCCTCTTCCTCTGCCTCTCCCTCGGTTATCTGTGTCTCGATCTTTGTCAAAGGTCCCAAAACCGTTCTCTTTACCATCATGGTCATTATTGTTATCCCTGTTCCCCCTGAATGCACCGTCCCCTCTTTCTCTTCCTCGTCCACGGGCCAATCGTGGTGGGCGACTGTCGAATCGCCGACCTCGGCGAGAACTGCTATCTGGTCTGTTATCACCACTTCTGTCTGGCCGTTCACGGGGTTCAAAGCTTTGTTCTGTTTTGTCAGGCTTCTCATCAGCATTGTTCTGTGGTGCTTCTGACTTATTTGGAGGATTGGCTCTTTTCTTTTTCTTTCCACCAGTTTCTCGCCACTCACCCTAGAATGAAACAAGGACATTCTGATTTTTTAAATGAAATTAAAAAATAAAGTACCGAATAGAACAGTCCTAAGAAGCATTTTCATGATATTTCTACTTTTTAACAAAGGTTTTTCAAATTACATTTTTGATTTTTCTCTTTGAATCAGTGAATATTTTTCTTGTGAATCAATGTACCTGATAATTTTCACCCTCTAAAAGCATGTTCACTGCTCCTTCAGTATCTTGCTGGCAATCGTGTAATGCTATCTCGCACTCAACTTGGGCTTTGCCTGTCAGATCAATTATCTGAAAAAGATCAAAAATATATATTTTTACAATGACCTGAATTGACTAAGTTAAAAGCAAACTTAAAAGTTTATATTCAGCACATCATTCTATTCATACATGAATATATCTTTAAATGAAAGACTATTAGTGGTGCTAGCAGAAATATTTTTACCCTATCAAAAAATCTAGATGTCCAACAATATCTACTAATATCCTAGTCTATTTAAAACATAGGAAAAAAGCAATCATCCTTGTGGTGGTAGTTCTGAACTGCATTTAAATATCATGTCAACATTCCCAAACAGTTTAATCACAGGAAACTTACTTGCTGTACTTTTTGTCTAAATACAGCTTCATCTTCACTTATCTGTGAGATCTGTGCCAGGCGCAGCTGTTCTGGTGTTGCCTACAGAAACAAAGTTCACATGTTTAATCTATTTGTACCTTAACAAGTATCTACCATAATAATATAACATAACTTCAGAGTACCCAAAGCAATTTGATATTATTTAACAAATTTTTCTTTGAAGACTAACTTGCTTACATTTCGTTTTTGCAAAACATCAGTTTAAATCTTTTCTTACATTTTTATGTCTAGTCATTTTCAAAAGACAAAACGTTTCAGTCAATTGGTTCATTCTAGACTTTTTAAAATACTAATAGGAATCACTAAAAGGCTACAATTTTTTTCCTTTTTATAATAGTTGCAAAACATGAGAATGAAGCATTTTTTTTTCTACAGAACTTCTTAGTCTTGTTTTCTTTCTACCTGGTGCATCTTTGAAGAGGAATCTTCGGTCTTTACTTGCGGCCGTGATGCAGCTTTTGCATTTTTGTCTTTACTCGGCCTACTGCTAGCACGGGATGTGCTCACCGCTGTGCTCATCATATACAGTATTTACACAACTCTATATACAATAACAGGTATCTGAAATGAAAAATGAAAAAAAAATGAATGTCAATATTATCTAGATAATATTTTGATTTGCTACATGTGCAACATTCAGTATGGAAAGTAGAAATTATCAGTCTTTTTTCATCGTTGTTTGATCTGCTTTCTCAGGCGAACATAGTACAAAAACTTGTATTCAAGTGCTCTAAAATCAAATTCAAGTCTGTATACCTAGGATGCAGTGTAAAGTATATGATGCTTCTAAACATTTCTTAGTGTTATTATAAATGTGTTGATAATACGTTGGAAGATGCAGTAAAAAGCTGCATCATCATTGTTAAGAGACAGAGCCGTTACAAAAGACTGTAGATCTTAATAATTGCGACAAAAACATGATTCACCGAGTGAAAAAACATGTTGATCATTTAATTGGAGGTAACTTGTAAAGGTGTGTATTGCATCTTTAATCTTCCAAGATTCAACAGCAATTTGTGTGTACATTACACTGCCTACTCAATATGAGATGTAATACATAAGGTATTGTGAGATAAGAATGTAGTCGGTCACCATCTTTTTTAGTTTTAGAAGTATCCTAACTAAATGCTTCAATCATAGTTTGTTGGTTTGGTATTCAAACATTCAGTATGTAATGTTATAATAAAATGATGCAACAAATTAAGTCTCAAAACTGCTGGAGTGGAAACAAGAAAGAATTTTCCAAGACTTGCCTATGCTCGTTTTGCTTACATTTCTGAGTTACAGGAATCTTCAGAGCAGATTTTCAAAAGAATATAGTGCAACTGTTAATTACAATTAAAGTTTCCAACTTAGCTACATTTACATGGAACAATGTCTAATTGACAGGTACCTTGAAAAATCATACAGGACTTGGCTAAATCTTATGCATATATAAGTACAGCCCTACCATACACCTTTTTCTATATTTTAACTATTAAAGGCAGTAAAATTGTAGTCCAAGAAGTTGCAAGAACATCTACCACTGCTTGTTGCTATTGGGAGTGTCAGGCAGCAATCATACACAGGGTCACATGGAAGATATGATAGCTACACCAACTAATACTCTGTATAAATGTAACATACAGTTCCACTAGCCCGGGTCCTGACGCCCTGAACTGGCATATTTTAGGTCAAAACAAATGAAATATGCAGGTTTAGCTAATAACGTTTCTGAAAATCTGCCTGTGAGTTAGTATATATAAAATAGTACACCCATGTTGCAAAAAGTTTTTTAAAGGCATCATGTCCTCTGAAATATTTATGTAATAGTGCAACAATTTAGATGATTAAAGTAGATTATCAATGTTTCAATATGCAGTTATGCTTTTAAATTGCCCTTATATTTACCTCGGTGACACTGGTCATTGGTGGCCATACATGTCTATATTGAATCATTTTAGTTTCTTGTAAATCTAATATCTAATGAACCAAAATAACTTCAGCGAGTTGAGTACTTAAATGTGTTGTAAAAAGCATTTAACTGCACTTTGTTAAAAATATAAATATTTATTACAGCTATCATATTCTAAGTCTAACCTTTTTCATGCAGTGAACCTTCAGACTGCTAATTATAAATATGAAGAAAGCAACTTTCAGAAATGTAAAATTTGCTTTGAAATCGCTATATTTCTTTCACCTTAACACATGTTTGATATCCCCGAAGCTGTAGAGTAGGTCAAGCACCAAATCAAACAGAACAGTGAAACATTTAGTGTCTGATCCTATGCGAACTTAGCTTTCTGACGACAAGATTTTTTATATAACATATTGCACAATTGTTGAAAAATGAATCCTTACCAATGAAAAAAACTCTTTCACGAAATTAACCCAGTCCGTCTTGGGGGGGGGGGGATTAAAAACGACCACCATGACAGATCACACATGATGCTATTTCACTTATCCTTTCTATATATGGCCTGCATGGCCAAATATAGTACTACTACTGAATCCGTCATGTTTACTACGATTTCCATATTGGGTCATGACACCCATATTTAAACGTGACCTAAGTCAAAAGAGAGATAATTTTTTCCAACATGGCGGTCAATTCAGATTTCGATTGCGCTTGCTACGATAACTTGATATATTTTGTCATTTTAGGCAGAGTTTAACTTCAAGTTGTGCAGGATATCAACAGAAATAGTTCATACTACAACCATAGATTTATGGATGCGGACCAATATGCTATCAATTAATTCAAAAATCGCCCCGGTGTGATTCACACCGGGCTTGCTCCTTTACAAGGCATGGGATCAATCTAATACCCGGCCGGGGCAGAGGAGGCTGGGTATAAATATTAGTACTAAAGCGACATATCTAGACGTTTCCTATTCCTAGCTTTCTGGAAACCAAACTTGGTCTGGAAGTTTTCTGTAGAAAAATACATTACTAACTCATTTGGAAATTCCATTATGAAATTTTGAACCCCCAATTAAATCGGTCTCTTGATCTGCCTGACATTTGACGTCCAAACCACGTTACTCTGTGCGGTGAGCAACACAGAATATGCATGTCAACAAGGACTAAACGGAAGTTGATCTGCAAGTGAAAACAATAGTATCGACAGCAACCGTGTGCTCAAAAAGTGGCAAATCGGAAATTATTCCACACCCTGTATAACACAATCAAATATTGATGCTCAGATTTTCGGATTTCGATGATTTGCTTCGTAACAAAACACCTCGTTTGGCACCATGTGACGCCATGCTGGATTTCCTCATCAATTTTCTAAAGATATTGGAACAGTTCTACGATAAATTATCATCAATGTTATGAATCTTAAAACTCATGATTAGCTTATCTTCGACAAATAATCAAAATAAATCATATCTTGGAATTAAATATTACAGAAAACAGCAAATAGTACGGCCACATTCATTACCTAGGTCTGCTCTCACAATGGCATCGGGTCACGTGATTATACCTAGAATTCGCGCCGCCATATATAAAATTTCCGGAGATGACGTAATGAAGGAATTCCCTTTCATATATTCAAACTTGAGCGTTTCAGCAAATATTAATGAAATGTGTTTCAGACACAAGGCATATTCTATATGATTAATGGAAGTATGGACGTTGAGCATTTGTTGTATAACAGAAATGAGCTGAAAATACCCCTATTTCCGGTCAATCCTCCGGAAGATTACGAATGTTAATTATATGTAAAGGGAAATAACTCCAAAACGACAAGCGTGTACTTGCTAAAAAGACACAACAATGGCAAAGTAATTGCATTCAATAAATCGCTCGAGCATGATATTCAACTCTACATGACAAAATCAAACACGCATGTAAACCCACAAAGGATGTGTCAGATAATGCAGGTTGATGAATTGACGCTCATTAAAATATATCGCATTAAAATTGTATAATTTAATCCATCTTATTCTATGTATATACTCCACAGAGACCAAAATGTCTTTAATGCGGAGGGGGTACTTATAGCTTCGTTAAATCCCAGTTGGTAGGGATTGATGTTTTAATCCCTGCACTGAAGTAGCTATTTTGTTTAAATATTTTAATACAGTGAAATCATTTTTCATGTATCTAAAAGTCACATATGTAAACATTAAGTCATTTTTCAATGCAGTGCTTCCTGTTCGTTGTAATCCGAGATGAAATTTCTCCGACAGAGAGTAAACTTCTTACTTTTAATTGAAACCAGATACCAGGGACCATTATACGTCCCTGTTGAAACTAAGTTGCATTAAAAGAAGCTATCTAGATACACAAGGTTATATGTATGCAAGATTTATTTGAAAAAAGGTTATACCACGACGCTTTAAAAAAAGTCATTAAAAAAATACAATTGGGCTAGTGTTCGCTGAAGGCACGGAATTTGATTCCGTTACTATCTAAGTCCGTGCTGAAGGTGAGATATTTTAGAATTATTACTGAAACCAATGGATTAAAATCGAATTCATTTTGCAAATAACTCCAAAATAAGTTTTACAATGATGGAAACTTATATCCCTTCACTTTTACAAAAATAGCGATATTTTTAATATCAATGTAATTTGAAGTTCTTATTTATTGTAGGAGAATGTACAAACTTTCATGGAAATTACGCACACAAACTATGTTTGTCCATACGACGAAAAAAACACCAAATAGTTATAATCAAAGAGTCATATAAATCATATAGCAAAGCGTTGATGGAATATATACTTGACTTAAAGGGTGTAGGTAGAGTTGGGAGGCGGGGCGTTTGAATACAATTTCAATTGGGGCCAAAAAGGGGAAGAGGACATTCATATAGGGGAGTGGCGTTTTTATAGGATAGTGAGGATAGGTTGATCAAATCGACCCGGTTTCCTGTCCTCGCGGTAATATCATAAAGAATTTTATGATAAAAGTGCTAAATTTGAACTTTGATTTAATATATCATTATATTCGTTATTTGGCGTATTTTAACCTATAAACTTTCATTCAATCTATACCATCGTGTGACATAAATATAATTAATATCCTGGAACTATATGTGTAAATTGTTTCTCCTGAACTTGTGTCAATTTAGATAAGTTCTATTTATGAAGCTTTTCCTTTAAAGTCGACATGTGTCATTGTTGTCAGATTAACTCATGCATTTACTTTGTCCATCTTATACCATATATCTTTCAACTTAATTATATTACGTAACAGGATTAACTGGTCATACCAGATCGGACACTGCATTCAGTCTCAGACAAAGGACAGCTAAATTGGCTTACCTGGTCGGGTACGGCCGAAGTCTGAAAGGCCGATTGCTATGAATGACACTTAATTGCTTTTGTGTAAATGTACTTAGGACACGATTATGATTTGTAACTTCAGTTAGGAGCTAGGCATCGGACTGTACGGGTGTGTTTTTGGATACTCCAGAAATCATCCACCGACCTAGAGAAAGTTATTTTAATAAATTTATATTTGGACCATACAACATCTCCAGAACTTTTACTTTTCAAATTGTATAACAATACCCCACAAAAGTGTTGTTATAGTAACTTAAAAGGGCGAATCTCCGCCGTTATCACCCGGAACCCCAGCTACGTCTATCCGTGATTAGAAGCGTATGTATACAAGCTTCTGAAGAACTACAACTTGCCTGCAATCTTCATATATCAGTATACACATATGCAACTAAAGAAAAAACAAATAGATTTCAGTTTAACTTTTAACAAGTAGTAATTGTAATGGGTTATAATTTACTTAAATTAATTTTTATGGCTTAATTCGTTTTTAATAAAAACTTGATGAAATTTGGCACATAGATAGAGAACTATCTTGCACTTCTTATAAGGTAATTTATATAATTACCCGTCTCAATTAAAGTTTTATATAATTTTAATCATGATTACTTACAGGATATAATGCCAATCAGAGTGCTTAATGTTAGCAATTACAATTTACGAAATCAAAATAATTATGTGATTCCAAGATGTCGATTAAACCTTATTTGAGAAATCCTTCATTCCTGGCACATTAAGACTTTGGAATAATCTTGATATTGAAATCAGAACATGTAATACGCTTTCTAGATTCAAAAATGAAATATCTTTTAAATGAGAATGTGCTCCTGATTTAAATTCTACTGGTGAACGAAAATTGAATGTTTTGCATACAAGACTCAGGTTCCTTGAGCTCTGACCTCAAACGTATAAATGTAATTCAGTCGCCTGAATACATATGTTCTTATCCTATAGAAAATGTTGAGCATTATTTTTTAGAATGTCCATCGTATGTAAAAAGCCAGAAATTCCCTCAGGAGAAAAGTTTTAGGGAATTTGAATTTAGATTTTTTTAACTACTGATTTACTTTTGTATGGTTCAGACATGTTTACTGCTAATGAAAATTGTTTTCTAATCATATCAGTTCAAGAATACATTAAAAATTCAAAACGATTTAGTTAAAAGTATGTTAAAACAAAAGAAAATATACTTATATATCACTTGCACATAGTTAGCATTGTGGTACTTTGATGACGCAATGGATCGCATCCGGAATAGCGGGGAGCCTAGCAAGCTCGGAACTCTTAAGGAAGCCAAGGATGTGTGATATTCATCTTTGTTGAAAGCGGACATTATGGTGCGGTGCGTTTTAAAGAAAGCTTCAAGGATGTGACCATTGTGTGTTGCGGTCTGCTGCGTCATCAAGCTGATTTCAAAGCTAATTTTAAATTATTAAATTTTATATTGTTTTAGTGACTATATGATATGTATCATTGACAGAAGTTTCAATATGAAAATAAAAACTATAGATTGTTTATAGTGATGTTACAGCGTATGTTTATATTATATACAGGTTACTGAGACATGTAAGGGTACATACAATACAAAAATAATCTATAAGATTGGTATGTTGTACATTTTGTCTTATCACGGACTTAGATAACAATCTAATTCCGTGGTCTTATTCACGTTTCCTTTTAATCATCTAAATTTACAGTCATCAATATTTTCTACTGTGCAGCCATACTGTATATTAAGGGAGAAGGCGAACTTCAAGTTTTAGAACTTTTGTCTAATCCCTTTAGTACATGTATATAATGATTTTTGTGACGTGATATCTCAACAACAGTACGGATAATAATATAAATACCACTGGATAATTCTTAAACAGGATGTCAAGTTTTATTAAAATTGGATGTCAAATGAGTAGCGAAAATAGTCTGAAAACCCCACGAATCCTATGGTAATCCACGGACTTAGATAATTCCGTGGGTAAACTGACGTATCGTAAAATATTTCAAAGTTGACCTTAGGCTGATATATGTAATATTATTATTATTATACACGTAGGTTGTGATATTTTTATTTCAAGCCAACTGTTATCATTTTTTCCAAAAGTCAAAAATATTGTTCTCGTCATATGGGAAAATCCGGTAATATGCTCCCTACTATTGTTTTAAATTTAGAATAAACTCAGTGCACACTTTTTACCTCCAAACAAAAAAGAGCAGGACTTGAAAAAAATGAGTGGGTTGGTCGACTGGGAAAGAAGATTGCTGACTATTCGGGCAAACATTGCAACAGGCAACATTGAAAAATTGTTTGGAGAAGAATACATAGTCATTGACCTCCTAAAAGTAACACATATATCTATGTTACAATTCATGTATCGGTTTCTGACCCCTTAATTTTGCAAAGTTTGTCACAAGACTTTCATGACTTGTGTCGTCTGCAGTAACTGTTTCCTGAGGGAGAACAGTCTTTGATGTTATCCATCGTATTGTCATCCATTGACTATTATCAGACAAATTCCTATTATATCAAAAACTTCATAGATATACATTTCACTTCATATGGCCCTGTTATACCTTATACTTAGTAAAAGGAGGTGGTGTGTGTGTGTCTAAGTGTGATATAATAACCAATTTGTCAGTTTGTCCAGCTGTAGTAATAGCTTTGTGTACAAGATATCTCATGAGCCTTTAACATATTTAGTTCATATTTACACCACGATGATTGATCTGCAAAAGTCAATGTTTCGTTTTATTTCGGAAATTCATTAACATATTACAGACATTTTCCCTAGTCTCTGTATCAACATATTACATGTATTGCAGTTACACCTGTTTTTGTTTTTCTAGGTTTTATATGAAGACTCATTGGATGCGTCATCCAAGGTAGAGCTGCTAGTCTTACTGGAGAGCTACGGTGGTTATGGAGGGATACAGTCAAGCAGGTATGTTTGAATTCTTATGCTGCGGAAACTCAACTGGGTCGATCGTCAATGACCAGATTGCTCTATATTGGTAAAGCATGCGTCTATATGTAAGGATTTCTAATTTAAAAGTAGAATGTATCTGTACTTCATTTTAGATTGTGTTACCTTGATTACAAATTGAGGTTATTTCGGCTTGCAACCTTTGTAACACTTTATGTCAGCAAACTACTGGATTAGGTAAATATGTTATTGATGTAATTTGAAATTCCGAAAAGAAACATTAATATATAGAAAGACACTTGTAGACAGTTTTAGATCAGAGCAAATTAGAACTGAAATCAGTGAAAAAATCCATTGTTTCTTGATACAATTCATGTACTACAAAGTAGAAAATGTTATTACAGCTAAATGTAGATCTGGTATTGTTGGTACTCCAGAATATTGTCCTATTTAAGTTTTGGTGAGATTAAATATTTTTTAGAGTTTTCTCTTTAGATATGACATCTATAAATGAATGGGCCATTATATAGTTCTTCATTGTAAAACTGTAACATTTAGTAGACCTAGTTTTCTGAATATTGTTACATATATGTGTTCACATCATAAAAGCAAGTAAGGTAAAATAAAAAAAACATGTTGTATTTCCGCTAAACCAACCTACCCTGGATTTTTGTGCCTACCCTAATGTTTATATTGGTATTTAGTAATATGCACAATTAAAGTCAGAAGTCTTGCTCTATATAAGCATTGTAAAAATATTTTCCAAAATAAAAAAAAATGCCTACCTACCTACCTACGTACCTACCCACCCACTTTTTCTGAGGATGATAGCGGAAACACAAATATATTTTTTTGCCTAATCAGGTCTTTCAGAGTTTATTTTGAATACCAGAATTTAATCTGTACTATGTGTATTTTTAACATTGCCAGTGTTGACCAGATCATTGCGTCTTTGCTGGACGTGTTTCACCAGTACAGTGGACGGACAGAGGGTCAGTCCTTGTTCCTGGAGCAACTCCTTCTGACCATTACTACTCTGCTTGTTCAGTATGACCAGCTGGTATGTTGAATTTTTTTATTGTAAATGAATACCAACAATGAAAATGAGAGATAGGCAACTGATTCTATGTATAATGTAATCTGTTCAGGTCGACCATTCAATAGAGTCAGGTTTTCAGATTACACAGGTTTAGTCTACTTGTACCTAAAAATTCATGAAATTTATACTTTTGCCTTGGTAAATTAATTTGATTTGTGGATCATATATTTGTTCTTTTGTTAAATTCTGGAATTTAAGTTCATATGAATATGACAATGTCATCAGAGAGTTATTCATTAAAATAAGTATTTCCAAAACTTGGATAATTTACAGTACCGTTAAATTATATAGAAATATATAAAAAGGGAGCTATCTGGTCTGGTTTCTTAAATGAGCTTATGCAAGGCTTGATGGCTGCCATCAACTGAATTTGATGTGACAAAATCTGAACTTTGACATTATGAATGAAAATGATAAAAAATAGAAAAGAAGGAAAATTTGCCATTATGGAGACTTGGTGATTAAAATTTACTGTGCTATGTGTAATGTATTGTTGAAAACCTTAAAAAAGTATAAAAAAATATATAAAAAATACCTTGGATATTATATAAACAAAGTTTGTCCTCAAAAGAATTTTTTTAAGGACTACTCCTCAAATGCCACTTGACATATTTTAACTGAATTTTCTATGAAACATTCATGTTAAATCATTACAGCTGTCAATATATTTGTCAAAACTGTTAGATAAATATGAGTGATGCACACCTATTTGGCCTTTTTTCATTTAATCTCTCCTTTGATACTTTTCAAGGATGGCGATATCTTCAAACGTTCCTTTGAGGCTATTTTAAATGTTGCCACATCACCAAGCAATGTGGCTGACACTAAGAGACTACGATCATGTGCCTGCCAGTGCCTTATACAGTTTGAGGAATGGTTGCCGGTAGGTATATACTTCTTTACGTTAGATAGAAACCATATTTTACAGACATCAGGGTAAAATCTTAGTCTGAAGAATTAGTTATATGTGAGTGTTATCCTATCACTGACCCAGAATTTGACTTATGGTATACCATCTTGAAATTCATGCGTTTCTGGAGTTCAAAGTTCAAGGTCTGACTCTTAGATCAATTCAGAACCTTCATATCCATGTTTAACTTTTGATTGAAATTAATTCAATTTGTTTAATTTTAAAATGTGTTCCAGATCTTAACTTGTGCCAGCTAGTTTACAGTTATTAATAAACAAAAAATTGTTGAAATCATGAGGTTTTTTAATGGAAAATGATGCAGGATAAGTACAGTAATCACTTTTGACACTATGCTTTAAGGGTTGTCTGTGGAAAGAAAAAGAAACACTTCGGAAGATTCTGAAGCTGGAGCGGTCAGATGTGTACCAGGATTACCTGCTGTTGGTCGTTAAGGTGGTGGAACATGCCATCTGGTCAGTGTTCTGATAATATATGTAAATTTGAAACTGTCAGGGATTTTTTTTGATTTTTTCAAGGTCTGAGAAAATAAGTGACTTTCAGAACTATCAAAAAAATAATTCCGGTGAAATTAATGCCTTCATTTCTCATTTCAATTCATGTATTTAGCTTGACTAATTTTGAAATATCATGCATGCTTTCAGTAACCGTTCCAATGGCAATGGTTCACCTGGTGTCAACAGTGCTAACGGAAACGTAAGTTTGGTGAGGGAAGAATGGTCTGCATAGACATAATTGCAATGAAAATATTTTTTCATTTTCAATGCAATTATTCTGATGCAATTTTTGGCCAATCTGTATTGTTCTTTAGTTGGATTAACTATACTTTTAATTTTCTTTACTCAGTGGTATGCAAGAGGTAGATTACTTGTTCAAATAAAGAAGTGAATTTGGTTATTTCTATTTTTAGGTCACCTGAGACAAAGTCTCAAGTGACCTATTGCGATCGCCTTTTGTCCGTCGTCGTCCGTCGTCCGTCGTGCTTCCGTAAACAATTTACATTTTCGACTTCTTCTCCAAAACCCCCGAACCAATTTCAATGAAATTTTGCAGGGACCTTCCATGGACAAAGGTCAACAAAAACAGTTGTCGGTTTAGTCCTAAGCCCCCAGGGGCCTGAGGGGCGGGGCCAAAAAGGGTCAAATTGACTAAAATTTCAAAAATCTTCTTCTCCAAAACCCCTGAACCAATTTCAATGAAATTTTGCAGGGACCTTCCATGGACAAAGGTCAACAAAAA